ACAGTTCTACTATAAGCTGATGGTCGCTAAAGCGACCATCAGCTTATAGTAGAACTGTAAATGCCAGGTCCGTACGGCATACTGAGCTGGCCAGCTGGAAGCACTTTTGTAGCTCCGTATGCCGTACGTCCTTGGCAGTGAAAGGGTTAATACCCTGTTTCCCCGAAAATAAGACCTAGTACTAATTTTGGGAATTGCTAAAATATAAGACCTAGTTGGGACCATTCCCAGGGCCAGTGGTGGCATAAGGGGGAACTTGAAGAGCCGCGGTTAGAGGAAGCGAGGTGGCACCAGGGGGAACAGAGCCGCATAAGCCGATGCCTCCTCTATAGCGCTGGCTCCTGTCACAGGCGGAGTGATATCAAATGCACTCCGCCTGTGAGGAATCGATAGTGAAAGTGCGCTTCACTCATTCTGGCCAGCGATTGGTTAGCAAATTGCACTTGGAAAGGTACTGACTGCCCTGATCACCATATTTTTGTACATGAATACATGTAGACTTTTCTACATGAATAAGTGTGGATTGTTGTACATTGAAAAAAAAAAATAAGACCTAGTGTGTTTTTTTGAGCCCCCAAAAATATAAGACAGTGTCTTATTTTCAGGGAAACACGGTAGAAGTAACTGTGAGTACTTTTCCATAGTACCCATGCAAGATGATGCACCGCTTCTTTTACTGCACCATCTGAGAACCGTGGCGCTCATCCTTCCTTTTGCTCTCCGGGTCATAGTGGTGCACCATGTCTAGTCGCTGATGACCGTTCCCTATAGTATAATCCAATCTTCACACTGTCTCAAGAACTGGGTCGCAACCTCTCCACGGTGTTGCTTGTGCAGACCAGTAAGCTGTTTTTCATAAACCTCCCGATTCAACGGCACGTTGTTCTTCAATGGTGCAATGGAGCATCCATGTTTCTGTCCACATGACTACCACTCGATTAAAGTCTGGGCGATGTATTGCACATAGTCAAGCTATCCAACAGGCTATGTAAATATGCTGCATTGCGCAAGCTTCTCTCTGTTCCAGTTCCCGCCTAATTTTATAAATTGCTTAAAATTTTTGATTCTCCCTCGTATATAATACATTTTTTTGCAGTCTCTATGCTCTTTATGTTTGTTTCCATTTCAATCTAAAAGTATTTGAAAATGCAATGGGCAGTAGGAAATGGTGTTTTGTGGTAGGGACTAGAGCTGCAGCTAACGATTATTTTCAAAATCGATTAGTTAGCCGATTATTAGGTTCGATTAATCGGTTAATCGGATAAACAATAAAATAAAGTTTTAAAAAATGGCTCCAGTGATAGGACTACTAGTTTGTATTGAGGTTGTAGTCCATCACAGGAGCAAGCTTGGAGCGGTGGAAGTAAAAAAGAAAAAAAGATAGTGTGGTGTGCAATATAGTGAAACGGAAAGTGTAAAATTATACAGCAATGAATGCAGAATGGCACCGGCTATAGAGGACTACAAAACCCAGCAAAAGCACATTATACAGCGCAATGCAGAATACCGCCAGCTATAGAGGAATACAACAAATCCCAGCAATAGTACTGTATTTTTCCAACTGCAGACGCAAACTAATTTAGGGAAATCTTGCCAATGGAGTCTTAGAGATGTACTGTAAGCTGGTGGGTGATTTAAACCACTGATACAGTCCCAGCTAATATGTCAGTACTTGGTAGAGTTCCCCTGGAAGGTGTGATTACAAATGTGGTTCTTTTTTTCCATGAATGTCTAACAGCTGTCTCTGTTTTATTGTAGCATCTTGCTGGTCAATCGGGATCTCAATAAAAGCTTATATACTGTGCAAGTTCATCCTATGGAAGACATGCAAAGATCAGGTGAACAAACATTAGTTTTCTTTTAAGATGATGTGCCTGTTTAATAACCTCATTAAAAACACCAGCTTTGCTAAGATGGAAGCCAAACCTACATAAGTAAATAAAGCCTGCTGATGCATTGCTTTGAACTGTTTGTAGGTATTCAATTTAATGTACTTTTTAGAATATTTTGCTGTTTCCACTCCTTATCTTACCTTTTAACTTTAACATGCCCAGCTACTTTAATCCATTTTAAGTAGTGTTCTTGTGCTTCTGCCAACTTGCTTCTGTAACTGATGTGAAGCATCAAGTATTCTTGTGCCCTGGCTTGCAATGTATTCTGGCAGTTGCAGGACCATGTTGCTGGGGACCTACTGGCTACACCAATCTGAACTACATTAAAACTTAAAGTGATATTAAAGCTTTGGGTTTTTTTTTAGATCAAGTAGGCCCACCTTTTTTAACTCTTCAGTCAAAGTTAAACATTTTCTGTTCCTCGTTTTCGAGTGGGTCCCTGCAGTGCTCATCACCCCCTGCACAGGTGCCCCCATCAGCTGAGCAGCTGCTGTGGAGGCACCCGTGCATGCTCGTGCCCGCAGTAGCTGTGTACGTCCACGCCCCTCCTCTTCTACCTAAAGGGTGATTGACGGCAGAAGGAGCCTATGTGTCTTCTGTCCTCAGTATCCTCCCCCTGCAACCAGGAAGTTTGGTGAATGAAAGATTGCTTCGGGACCAGCGGCGGTGACAGAAGTGACACAGGTAAGTGTGGGGGGGAGACACAAAAAAGGTACTGGTCATTTTTTATGTTAATGCAGAGAATGCATCAAGGTAAAAAACAACCAGCCTTTAATACTACTTTAAAGTGGACAGTACTCAAATGTTTAACATAAAGCTATGTTCCTAGCCTTACTTAAGCGGGGAATATTGAATATTAAAAGGGCTGGCCACAGGTATTTGTTTTCTGACCACATCTCTTAAAGCTTGGTGCCAGGTGCTTGGAATGTGGTCCTTTGTTTGCAAAACCAGCTGATGAAAAGGTGCATCGCCACTCTGTTATACAATTAAAATGGTATTTTATTTAAGCAACGTAGCAAGTTCTATGCATTTTTTGACAATATGGCTCCTTCCAAGATGGCCCTTTACCATTTACAACTGGTACATACAATATCCAGATTGGAATGAAATAGCAACAGTTGTATAAAAAAAAAAAACCAAAAAGAAACAGCCTTAATAACTCTTAAATGTAACTATGGGCTTAACATTGCATGAATGACAGCATAATAGACTATCTTGGAATTAATATAATATGCATTTTAAAAAATCGGTAACACAACAAAAGAATAAACCAGAAAGACGAATGAATATTCCATCTACTGTTTAAACATAGCTTTGTTAACATGAAAGCAAGGCAATTCACCCAAATCTTGAACTCATCTAAAAAGGGCACTGAAGAAAAAAACTATTACATTACAATTACATAATGCATACTAACCCTTTAATGCAGTTCACAATTTCTTGCAGTCCTCTGAACAATCCCTTTTGCCTTGTCCATGCGGCCATTTTGGTAATGGCATTTCGTGATCCAGAAGCAATTTCCTTATTTGCTAAGCGAGCCCTGATTGAATTGGCCATTGGGTACCTCGTTTGTATTTTTTTTCTTTTCTGCTTGGTGTAGAAGGGGTTAAAACTGTGGGGCTTACTGCCAACATAATTTTGCTGGGTGAAGTGGCAGGGTGACAAGTCATCTGTGGCCTCTTCCTGCCAGACAGTGTCCAGGAAGCATCTTCTCTTATGCAACAAAAGCAATGTCGAAGTTTGACCCTTGATGTGTTCCTACTGCCCGTCTACAGTGGTGCTTGGTTATCTCCAGCTCCTCGACCCTCTGGTCTTGAGTGTTGTCAGCCATCTATCAGCTCGCAGGTACCACGAGTACTCGAGACCTATCCTTCATGATCTATGCCTGTCCGCCTCTGAAGCGTCTTCATTGACTGCTTTACCTGATCGAGAAGTAGGGCATTCCGGTGGTTCTTTTAGTCTTGGATTGGCCCAGAGGAGCATGGTATGTCGTTAAGACTTCTAACACTGTGGGCTCTGCTAGACTTTCAACATCTGCTGTCCCAAGGACTGATTTACCACCTTACTTTTCGGTTGCTAGCTATAATGGCATGGCTGTTAAAGCTCAGGTTCTAAGGGACAGGAGAATCTCAGAGTGTTAACACTTCAATGCTAATGGCTATGAAGTCTACTTCCTGCAAAGTCTATCATTTAGATAATAAAACAAAATCTGCGCTCAGGATTTAGTACATTATCCTTGTGATAAAAAGCCGCCATGAACACAGAAAAACAATCAAATAAAAAATGCACAGCTCTGAATATCTCATTCAGTGAGGAAAGTATGAGTGAATCATAATAAAATCAGAAATAACACACAGAGCTCTATAATAGTTATTTTGTTATTTCTGATGTTATTATGATTCACTCATACTTTCCTCACCTAGTGTGATATTCAGCGCTGTGTATTGTTTATTTGAAAGTCTACCATTTGCTTGGGGTGAGTCCTGGTTCGTTCACCCCACGAGTTTCTCCATGGGACAAATTCTTTCTTTCCTGTAATTGGGTCTGGACCAATGGTTGGCCCTTAGGTCCATCAAGGACCTGATCTCTGTTCCTGTCATTCTTTTCCAGAGAGAGCTGGCTTCCTGAACTGGCCAGGAAGTTAGCTCCATGTTCCCTCGCGGCACTGCCGGTATCGGGGATAAGTATCGAAGCATTTCAGCAAGTACGAGTACACGCCCAAATACTCGGTATTGGTGTAGTCCTGCTCTCTGATCTAGAGTTTTCTCCCATGTGGCTCCTCTGGTCAAATCCCCTCTGCCTTTACTGCATTTAAATCTGGTCCTTTCAGTGCTTTAGAAGCCCCTATTTAAACCTGACCACAAGGTGGTCTTTCTTGTTGCTAGCAGCTCGAGTGTCTGAACTCTGCAGCTTTATTTTGAAAGAAACCCATTTTGGTCCATTAGGAAAGGTAGAGTTTCTTCCTAGGTTGGTCTCTGCAGTTCATCTTAACCATGGCATTGTGCTTCTCTCTTTGTGTTAAGCTCCAGGATAATTCACTCCACTGTCTAGATGTGGTCTGGACTCCAAGTGTATTTCTGCTGCCACTTCTTCCTACCACAAGACAGATTATGTTTTTGTCATTCCGGATGGACCCAGAAAGAGCAACCCAGCTTCTCATTCCACCATTTCTAGATGTTTCAAACAGAACCATTCTTCAGGCTCATGGTCTCAAGAATCAGGTTCTTTCATTTCAAGTCGAGACTCACTCCACCAGGGCTGTGAACACTGCTTGGGTATTTTAGCATCAGGCCTCTGTTTGCCAGGTTTGTAAGGCTGCCACTTTGTCTTCAGTTTACATTTTTTCCAGGTTTTACCACGTGCATGTTTGGCCAGTTGAACTGCTTTTGGATGTCCTGAAGGCTTAAGGCTTCCAGTGTCCCTCAATGGATGTGAAAGAAAATGATTTTTGTACTCCCCATAAAAATATATATATTCCTTGGAGTCCATTGAGGGACATAGGTCCTACCCCCTCTGTCTTTGTGATCATGCTCCTAGCGCTGCTTTGCTACCAAACTGAAGCATGGTGGTAGTAGGAGGGGTTTTTCCAGGGCCAGGCTACATTTTTTTGTTCGCCAGTGTCCAGTCCTCTTGTCTTAAAATGACTTACCCTAAGTAAACTGAAACAATCCCAAACAGGGCTTTCCCACTGTGGTGCCAGAATGCTGCTCCGTTCAAAAGATATAATCCTCTGCTGCAGTCCACTGGGAGACCATCATTTCTGGGTGTGTTGATCTGCTTGGTCACCTGCTGCACCTAGTAGACCTCTGCATTACTACAGGACACAGTAGTGACAAGAAGGTCACAGGGAGGAACTAAGTGCTGCAGTGGACCCAGGAGCTCAAAGTTACTGAAAGTGGCAGCGTTTGGGCAATGGGAAAGTAAATATCCCCTCTAGTCTTTTCCAGGTATACCTCCTTGGTATGTTTTTTTTTTTTTTTTTTTTTTTTTTTTATGGGCAATTTTTTATTTAAATAAGACCCCAGCAATGACATAAGTGTTACAGTGACATGAACGATTGAGAGGTTCCCAGTAAGGTTACAGAAAGCAGTAATAATTCGATAGACAATATAAACCTTTCTATTGTAATAAAAAGACTGAATTGACACATTTTCTTAGTTGAGGGATTAATTTTTTTATTCCAGTTTTTGACAATACTTCAGTTGCATACCATCAGTTAATAATACGCACCTGTAGCAATTGTGATTCATATATTGTATATTTAAATTACATGCCCTTTCTTCTTTACAATAAAACAGTTTGTGGGAGCAATTACTGGATCTTTCCTCAAATCAGCCCAAATAATCACAACTTTGGGCACTGAACTGCCAACTATTTTTTTCCTTTGCAGTTTCCTCCTTTTGCGTGCCTCCTTTCTTCCATTTATACAATTTTCATATGTTTAGTAGAAGTACATCTGTCAATGTGATGGCCATCAAAACAGCTATAAATATCCTTTTCTATGAAGGTAGCAACAGTTGCTGCAGAAACTTAATCGTTTACAACAATGCATACGTTACAGACGGCCCGGGATTAGGATACTGTGCATGTGTAACCTGGCACATCTACAACAAAGGACAATTTGAAAGAGCACAAAATCACCATTGTCTGGGACTACCATAGAGAAATTCAGTTGTGCAAATACCATAGCCATAAAATGGATTACTAAGTTATTTACAGGTTAGGGTAAGGTGTGGTGGGCTATCATCTATACCATCGTTTTTCAACCACTGTGCCGCGGCACACTAGTGTGCCGTGAGATATTTTCTGGTGTGCCGTCAATAAATCGTTAATTTCTATACATGCTTTCAGAGCAGAAACTATTGTTCTTTATGGCTTTTTTTTTTGACCTAAACATTTTAGGTCAATTCTGGGTTCTTAGTTCTTAAGAACATCAATCAGTATATTAAGATCATTTCTTCAATAAAACTGAAGTTAGTAATCACAAAAAAAAAGAGATTTTGGCCATGCAGGCTCACTTTTTGTTGTCTCTTTGTCTTATTAGATATGAAATGTATATTGGAACAGCGGCGGGAAGCTCTTCGTTCATTTTATGCTCTCGCCATGTCACGCTACTTCCATCCAGAGCACCATGATGGGAAAAGTAAGTTCTGCTTGCAAAACTATATATGTTTAATACCAACTTTGATGTTCTACAAAAGAGAAAAACTGAACTATTCATGTACTATATGTTTATTGGCTTTTGTTTTATCAAAAAAATATATTACAAAACAAAGCTACATCTTATTTTTAAGAATTTGTAGAACTACAGCAGTCTAGTGACACAATAATGACAAGCATTATATGCACACATGGACCATTCCCCCACCCCCCAAAAAAAGAACCTAAATCTATGACCTGTCATATGTATATGTCATATGTAATGACATGCATATGAGCTGTCGTTATCAGGGTTATTCACAAAAGGATGAAGGCAGGAGAAGCTGGAATATGTGGTGAGGATTCCAGCTTGACATAGAGGCAGGGGCCTCGAAACGCATAGCGCTATCTGAACACACTGAGCACCATCTTCACAGACGGCTCTGAGCATTCAGCTGACTCCACTACACCGCGGTACCTTTTGTACCTATTTGCGGTCTCCCGTGCAGCCCGATCCGCTGACATCCATTCAGCATACACCTCACAGCCCCAGCATTTTACCATTCTTGCCAGCTGAAGTCCATCTAGGCACGCACCCATCCGCCCCTCTTTCACCCCACCCAGTACCCTGGCTAATTTACATTTTATACAGGGATTACAGAGGACCTCTTCCTGAGACAAAGTGACACCTCAAACGTGAGTTTATCCATAGAGTAGTAGCACTCTTTGTGAGACCGTGCCTTGTAGACCATAGATTTTCCTCACCTCCCTCCAACTGACAATACTGTCCCGTAGTAGAAGGTTTTGTTTAATGTGGCCTGGTAGAGCCTGCAGGGGGGTGTGGACAACTCCCGAGAGCGTCCATGGGTGTACCAGATGCTGTTAAATAGGAGTAGTTGTATAGTGACCGGAGTCATTAAGCCAGTCATGTCGCAAAATGAATTCCAGATTATAGAGGCGTATATTTGGCAAATGGACCCCCAGATGGGATCTCGGCAGTTGAAGTTTAGCCAATGCTATGCAAGGTCTTTTTCCCCTCCAAATAAATTTGGTGAAGGCTTGATTGAGGAATTGTACGTCTTTGTGTCTAAGGAGAAAGGGGATAGTTTGAAGGGGGTAACGGAGGCGTGCAAAGCTGATCATTTTGATCAGGTGGCACCTTCCTAGTGCTGTAAGAGGGAGATGTTGCCAGGTGTTAAGTTCTTGTATAATATGTTTTATAATGGGGGAGTAGTTCAAGTTATACATTTCCGTTGCTGTTTTGGGTATATGGATTCCTAGATAACGAATGGATTTAGATTGTATACGAATAGGGTAGCTAGACAACCATGGAGGGTCACCTGTGGGCCGGGTGGGGGAAAGGTATAACAATTCACTTTTATCAATGTTGATGCTAAGGTGCCAAAATTATTTATATGGTCGAGGATACGTGAAATTTGTGTGTCGGGATCAGAAAGGAAGAGAAGTATGTTGTCAGCAAATAGCATCGATTGGATATGGTGTGGTCCTATTTTTATGCCTGTGAATAAATCTGAACATGACAAGTTTTCGTGCTAAGGGTTCTATGGCCAAGTTGAAAAGAAGAGGGGATAGGGGACATCCCTGGCGTGTGCCTCTGTAGAGTTTGAAGGGTGCAGATAGAAAGGTGGAAGTGAATATTTGCGCGTTCGGGAGGTGTAAAAAGTGGAGACAAAATGAAAGAACATTCCGGAAAATCCCATATGTTGCATAACCTTTCTGAGCCATGACCAGTTCACACTATCGAAGGCCTTCTCAGCGTCCAATGCCAAAATGGCTAGTGAACGCTGAGAAGAGCCGGATAGCCGAGCATGTTCCATGGCAGCTATAGTCTTATGAATATTAACAACAGCAGATCTACCAGAAACAAATCCCGATTGTGCAGGTGATATAATTTTTGGCAAGACGGTCGCTAGTCTGTTGGCCATAATTTTCGATAGAAATTTCACATCTTGGTTCGAGAGAGATATTTAGGGGCGGTAGGATCCTGGCATAAGGGGGTCTTTGTTGGCTTTCGGTAGTAACCTGATATATGCATTGTCAAACGTAGGGGGTATTGGTGATTATGCAAGATATGATTATAAAGATCAATGAGAGCAGGTGAGACATCCTCAGTAAGTAATGTATAAAATTCGGACGAAAGCCCATCCGGTCCTGGCGCCTTCGCTCGGGCGGAGGACCGAATGACCTGCTGAAGTTCTGGAAGGGTCACCTCCGCATTTAAGGGAAGAAGGTCCTCTTCTGCCAGCGAGGGTAGATCCACAGATTGAAGGTACAACGTGCCACCCTCCGTATTATCCGTCTGGGGCCTATACAGGGTCTGGTAATAAGAGGAGAATACCTCTGAGATAGAGTGGGGGTTAGTGTGGATGTTACTCTCGCTGTCAGCCAGTTTAGTGATACGGGAGGAGGTGTTCGGGCCCCGAGCAAGGTTGGCCATGAGCTTACCAGGTTTATTACCGAATTTAAACAACTCCACTTCCTTACTAGATCTAATAAGTGATTCATACTGTTGGATCCAGTGGTCGCAGTTTTGTTTAGCCAGGTTATCAGGAGATGGGTCTAATTTAAAAGGCAGAATATGCCCTCCGAGCCAATTGACAGTTGGATTTGTATTGTTGCAAGGTTAACTTTTTGCGGGAAGAGGAGTACGCCAGTATTCTACCGTGCAAAACAGCTTTAGCCGCCTCCCAGTACAAGACTGGATTATCTCTATGGTCGTAGTTACAGGAGGCATACTCCATCCACCAGAGTCTGAGGTTGTCCTGGAAGGTGTCGTCATGGAGCAAGTATGAGGGGAACCGCCAAGTCGAAGGCGTGGTCGGGATGTGCAGATTGGTGAGGGTCATCGAAACAGGGGAGTGGTCAGAGATGACCATGTCCTCGATTATTATGGATGAGAGTCTCGTGAGTAGTTTTGGTGGGAGGGAGGAAAAGGTATATGCAGGAGAAAACATTGTGGGCATGCGAGAAGTGAGTAAAGTCACGGTCTAACGGGTGTAGATGGCGCCAAGCATCCTCTAGACTACAATTGTGGATAAATTCGGCTAGGTGTACATCTCTAGGATAGGGTGTTGAGCGTGCAGCACGTGGCACAGCAGTTCTATCATCAAAGGTTGAGGGGACTGCATTAAAATCACCCCCCATCACTGTATAATTGGCGGTGGAGGGTTGCTGCAGTCAAGTATGTAGAGAGAGCAGAAATCTGTGATTGTCTGTATTAGGCCCATATATATTCCACTATGGTGGTACCGATTTTGAAGTGTGGTGCAGGACCAACGACCTTCCTTTTGGATCCGCTTTATGTTGTAGGATGGTGCAGGGGAGAGATCTATTAATCAATAACAAGGTGCCAGCAGAGCGGCCGGCTGCTGGGGCTCCCAGGACTGTCCCGACCCAGTACCTTCGCATGCGAAAGAAGTCACTTGATGAAACGTGCGTCTCTTGAAGGAGCGCTACGTCCGTTTTGAGTTTTTTAAGATGTCTTAGCACTCTGTTGCGCTTGTTAGATTTAAGCCCCTTGACATTCCAGGACACCAGCTTCAAGGGGGGTCCCATATGGAATTGTGAATTGGAATAGTTGACAGTGAAGTCATATCTTTCAAGGAGGAGATGCTGCTTGCCGCTGTCCCAGAGCTACGGCACCTTTCCAGGAGTGGTGAATGGTGAAACAGAGAGTATCCGTTCCGGCCCAGTTTTGTAGGGGAACCCCGTGAACATTCCCCTAGTAGTACGGTCACATCAAGTAAGACACAGGTCAATAAAAAAAATGAGGCAACCACGAAAAAGAAAAGAAACAAAAAAAGAAAAAAATGAACATGAGAACAAATAGAACAAATTTTTGTCTTGAGAGTGTGACTCCCTTTTTTCCCTGAGGTGGGTGTAGCGAACAAGCATAGGAAGCATCCCAAGAAACGCTGTTTCATCCTGTCAGCGTGGCTGGGATGCATTCTCCACACAGTTGTGATGGAAATTGCTCCGTCAGTAGATCAAATTATAAAGTCATAGTTGAGGAACACTGAACGACTCATAGTCTAGCTAAGCTAGATCACCCAGCAGAGCGAGTGGTGGCGAGTAAAGAAGTGGAAAGCCGGTTAAAAGGCGCAACGTATCAGTGTATACCATCCTGGCGCTGGACAGTCAGGCCTTTTTTCTTGCGTGGCAGGCTTTTGGTGGGTGATGAGTCCGGGCGTGCAGCAGGGTCATTCAGTGATTTAGCATACTGCATGGCTTCCTCTGCGGATGTGAAAGAGCGAGACTCGCCATGAGGGGTCACGATGCGCAGAATGGCTGGGTTTGCCAGGGAGAATTTAAGACGCCTGTCCACCAGAATGTGGCACGTATCCACAAAGGCCTTTCTCTGTTTGGATACCTGGGCCGAATAATCTGTGAATACGAGTAGCTTAGTTCTGTATCCGCTGAGTTCTGTATTGCCGTAGGATCTCATTTCTGTCAGCAAAGTCTAAATATCTCACTATCACCGGCCTAGCCTGCTGATTTGATTTTGGCGGTCCGATCCTATGCGCCCCTTCCACCCTGCATGGTGACTGGAGGCCTAGCGCTTTCGGGATGACCTGGGAGCAGAAGTGCAGGAGATCAGCTGGCGGAACAGACTCAGGTAGGGCTATAATGCGCAGATTATTTCTGCAAATACGATTTTCTAGGTCATCCACTTTGTCAAGCAAGTAGTGAATTTGTTTGTCAGATTCATCATGAACGTGCATGCGGTCTTCTATAGCGCTTATTCTGGATTCAGCCGCTGTAATGCAGTGTTCCTGAGTCTCTATGGCTAGGGTCAGGTGGCTCATATGATGTTGCATCAGCAATAGTAGCTGCTAAATCCGGTTTTAAATGTGCGGCTACTGCTGCAGCTAAGTGCTGATAGTTCAGATTAGTGTCCGGAATAAGTGTAGGTGACTCACCCATAGGCTCTGCTGATGGAAGATGTGAGAGCTCTTCCCGATCCGCCATCTTGGATGGATCATGCGGCTGCCCCGAGTCGGTCAGCAACGCGCGTCTAGTAGTTGTATTGCGGGTGAGGAACTTATCCATCACCCGGTCCAGACGTCCGGTGAACGACGTGGCCGAATTGCTACGGGGAAGAGCAGCTTTGTTCAGTGTTCCGATATGTTCGTTAAAGAGCAGGTTCACACACCACTACACCATCTGGCACCGGAACCGGAAGTCTTGACGCGTTTGTGATGCATTTTTTTCCCCTGGATGATGCGACAATCAATTCTGTTTTGTTTTATTTTGTTTTGTTGCGTTTGCACTGCGTTTTGATGCGTTTCATGCAGTTAAGATAACATTTTGATGTTTTTAGCTCTATTAAAAACTGTTGAGTCTTCCTAGGAAGGACATTTTTAAGTTTGGAGTCCTGCAATATTATGGCCAAAGTTTGTTTATGATCCTATGTATGGCTTGGAGTTAATATTGGTTAGTATTGTTTATCTAGTTGAAAAAATGGCCCAGACATTGTCATTTTTAAGTTTAAAGAGGAAAAAAATACATTTGTACAATTACCGGAAATCAATATCTCTGCATGTGACAGTGAAATGTAACGAAAATAAATGGTGAAAGTATCAATCACAGCCCAGTGTGTCATTGAGCGTTCATTTATGTTAAACGCACCCACAGTAGCCAAACGAGCACTCTAGTGTTATAACCATAAATCTGGAAACTTTTTTGTAATACGTGTATGGGTGACCAATATAATAAAATCGCCATAAGTGACATCAATACGGTGAGCAGAAAACAGTTGAAGTATCCTAATCACACCAAAATAAAAGAAAACGTGGTGAAAATCTAAATATTATACACACACCTATATAGTGTCATATTACACCTATAATAAATATACCGTGCAACTCAGTGCGCTCTGATTCTTTTCTGAATATAGAGGGTTAAATATCCAGAATGATAGTAACAGTATAGCAAGCAGTCCTTTCAAAGATTAGGTAGTATGCATGAGATGAGGTTAAAGCGGTTACTTTCCTTTTTTCAATGCTGCCTGGGTGGGTAATCCATTCACTCCCTAGACAAGTGTCCAAGAAAAACGTATCCAACCAATCGATGGCCCAGAGAGTCTGGGGAGTCCTGAGAATTCAGTGGTCCGTCGCACTCTTAACTCTCCAAATCCAACGATCCGACGATCACCTCTCACTGACCTTTTATTTAAACTAATCTAATTAGTTTAATTAGTATCACATGGTGCATCACATTTTAGTTAATTCATGGCATCGTTGGATATGACAACCAAATCCTAAAATGCTGATACTATGATCGATCCATTTATGTAGTATATCCTATGAAGCAATGATTCTCATAGAGATGTGAATCTATTGTTTAAGCTGGCAACATGTGATATTAATTAAACTAATTAGATTAGTTTAAATAAAGGTCAGTGAGAGGTGATGACATGACTCCTTTTTGAAAAAGTTAATGAACAAAACTAGTCAAAGGAAGATCTGTCCTCGCCGCTCACAGCTGAGATTCTGTTAACGCTTTTAAAGCTCTAACAGTTTGTGAATTTTGTAAGTGCATTTGTGTATTTTTAACAATTAAACATTTTGAGTTACTGCACTTAGAGGGTCCCGCCTCCTTTCTCCATTTTTTTCCTGGGATTACTGCACTTAGAGGGTCCCGCCTCCTTTCTCCATTTTTTTTCCTGGGAGATATCAACAGGTTTATGCCGCCAGTCGGGTGGTGAGTCCCCAGAAAAATCGGTATGAGAGGAGAAAATTACGTCGGATCGTTGGATTTGGAGAGTTAAGAGTGCGACGGACCACTGAATCCTTAGGACTCCCCAGACTCTCTGGGCCATCGATTGGTTGGATACGTTTTTCTTGGACACTTGTCTAGGGAGTGAATGGATTACCCACCCAGGCAATTGTACACTGTATTTTTTCCTCTTTAAACTAAGATTGTTCATCACAAATATTGAATTAACATCTACTCAGACCGAGCGCAACTTATTTGCTACACAATTATATTCACTTTTACACATTGTTGCGGCTGGTCTAATTAGCTATTTAGATACTCACTCCTAGCGCAGTGATTTTTGTATTACTATTGTCATTTTTAAATACTTTATTTCTGTTGAGAATTTCCCTAGACTTGATAAGATATTTTTTATGCCTCATTAATATGTTATGTCTTTTTTTATTAAAGACATTTTGTTTTCATGATTCTACTCTGGATCACATAATCATGGATAATGGTATAGTTTAGGGATGTCCCGATACCGATACTAGTATTGGTATCAGGGCCGACACAGGGCATTTTCACGAGTTCTTGTACTCGTGAAAATGACCCGATATTGGCCCTATACATTTTTAAATCGGATCGGCTGCCTCAGGTCCCACGCTTGTGGGGACCTGAGGCAGCCTTCCGGGGACCTGGCAGTAGCTGTCTTTTGACGCTGCCTGCCAGGTCCCACGTCTCCTCCTCCTGATTCCTGGTGCAGGCACTGCTCGAGGCAGCCCCACCCTGCCTCAACACAGTCTCGGAGCGGGCACGGACCGGCACCCAGCTCTGTTCGGCTCTCTACGTGCCCATAGAGCGGGCTCAGCACAGCACCTGTCGGTGCAGGAGAGACGCAATAGGCTGCGCTGGAGAGACCAAATAGGCAGCCCTGGTGACATCTATACGCAGCCCTGGAGAGACTCCATTGGCAGCCTTGGTGGGATTTGGAAGCAGCGGGGTGACATCTGGAGTCCAGATGGCACCAGGCTGTGTAAAGATCTCACTAGGCTGCGTCCAGATTCTGGACGCAGCCTGGTGAGTTCTGCACACGCAGCCTGGTGAGTTCTGCACACGCAGCCTGGTGAGTTCTGCACACGCAGCCTGGTGAGTTCTGCACACGCAGCCTGGTGAGATCTGCACACGCAGCCTGGTGAGAAACTGCCCTAAAGTCATTAGTCTGTATAGTTTTAGAAAAAAATGTCATGTCCCTTTAAGAAAACGTATTGCTAATTGGTATCGGCAAGTACATGAGGGAAAGTACTTGGTCTTGAAAAAGTGGTGTCAGGACATCCCTAGTACAGTTTCAATTATGTTTTCAATATTGGCTATATGGAAGATTTATTTTTCAGCGGGGGTGGTGATAACAGTTTTTTGAAAATAGAAGTTGTCAGCTTTTTTCTAAAATGGGTAATACGCTTCAATAATGCTCAACGCTAGACTTATGAAGATGCTAATCAATTACAGTCCCAGTTTATTTCTAATTGCACTAGATTCACCATGAAGCATAATTGCTAGGAAAAAGTTCCAAAGCAATGGGATTTGGAAGCAGCGGGGTGACATCTGGAGTCCAGATGGCACCAGGCTGTGTAAAGATCTCACTAGGCTGCGTCCAGATTCTTCACTAGGCTGCGTCCAGATTCTGCACGCAGCCTGGTGAGTTCTGCACACGCAGCCTGGTGAGTTCTGCACACGCAGCCTGGTGAGTTCTGCACACGCAGCCTGGTGAGTTCTGCACACGCAGCCTGGTGAGATCTGCACACGCAGCCTGGTGAGAAACTGCCCTAAAGTCATTAGTCTGTATAGTTTTAGAAAAAAATGTCATGTCCCTTTAAGAAAACGTATTGCTAATTGGTATCGGCAAGTACATGAGGGAAAGTACTTGGTCTTGAAAAAGTGGTGTCAGGACATCCCTAGTACAGTTTCAATTATGTTTTCAATATTGGCTATATGGAAGATTTATTTTTCAGCGGGGGTGGTGATAACAGTTTTTTGAAAATAGAAGTTGTCAGCTT